TTAGGAAGAAGCAAAAGTAAATCGAAAGCGTGTATCAAATTTCACTGCCGATGAAAAGGCTATATTAGGGCAACTAATAAAGAAGCGGCCTATTATAGAATCGAAGCATACGGATGGAAAATCAATTTTGAGAAAGAAAGAAGCTTGGGATTTGCTTACGAATGAGTTCAATTCAAATTCGAATGTCTACAAGGTAAAATTATATGCGTTTTAAGGCGGGTTGTATGGAACGAATGGAACAGATTCGGATTCTAGATAAATTTCTAAGAAAAAAATTCCATTAGAGCATAGCTCTGGATTTCGAGCCCGCCAAACTTGAAAAAGCTATCTTCAATTAATGCTACGTTAAGACATAAGTAAGTATTAAAAATATGACCTTCATAACACTCCCGCTAATATTAAGTGTAGACATTAACTTAGTATTAATTAAAGATAGGTTATTTTAAAATTTTGGGGGGCTCAAAATTTGGAGCTATAATGGAATTTTTTCTTTGGTATTTAATGTAGAATACGAATGTGCTAGGAACGATGTCGAAAAAAATACCCGACCTAATGCATTTATTCAATTTATTATACGCCTTAAGGTAGCGTCAAACAGATGCGGTAAAAAATTTTACGATATGCGATCAATACAAACCACTGCGGTATAGCACCGCAGTGTGTCGTATCTCACCTGTTTGAGAGCGTTTGCTTTTTATCGTTATCGCAAAAAATACGATATCGTATCGCACCGGTATTATCGCATCTGCTTGAGGCCACCTTTAGTATTTCGTGTTTCCATATTGTTTATTTCAGCGTGAGACGGTTACATTAAGGAGGGCGTGGGAAAATATGAAGGCAGTCGCACGAAAGGCTCGGGCAGTAGAAAGGGGTAATTTATTTCGAACGGGCGGTGGGCCACCGGTGCCATCAACATCACGGCAAGTAGAAGCAATAGTGGACATGGTGGAAGAGGTATGTATCCTTACAGCGCTCTTACACGATATTTATTTGCTTATCGTTATCTTAATATAGAAAGGCCCTATCTCTCATCGTCGCTGAAATACAAAAAAAATCGTAACTAGCTAAAAATCCTAAATTCACCTATTGATTGATTTTGAGCATTATGTGAAATAGAGCGTTTCTATATTAAAGTAACGATATACATATATGTAAATGCTACTTTACTTACGAGTACATACAAAAAAAAAACGTTTACATATCGATGGTCCTGTGCAATAACGACACAAATTAAAATTCGAAAATAAAAACTGTTACTACTGTTAAGTGATTATTGTCTCTAATCCTTGTCTAATCCATTTCCATCCCTTACTAAAGTAAGCAGTAAGGATTGTTAAAGTAAGTACAAAAGATGAGACATGGATTCGACAAGGATTAAATACATGAGTCACTTAACAGTAGTAACAGTTTTTAAATTTTTTTGTCTTGTCGTCATAAAATTTAATTATTAGGCTGCTCCCGCAATGATTTGCGAAATCTCCAACAACTTTGACAGCGATGGGGCAATTTTGCTAAACATGGAAAATAGCCAATCTAGCTCCATTGAGTTTTTAGGTATGTCCTTTAAGATATAATACAAATCACTTTTTAACCAACATTTTTTAGATATGATCACGGAAGCAAATGAGGAATCCGACGTAAACTTCAAAGCCATAAGCATAAATTATGAAGGTGAACCAAATGTTGCAGGTACTGTACCTATAAAATACGAAATAAGTCATCTACGATATACTAAAATTCTTTTCGCTGCTTTTTAACTACATAGTACACAGTAATGAAACTGGCCACCAACAAAAAGTGGAAAAGGAGCAAGTACGCAGACCAAGCGACTACGTTCGGCGGGAGGCAGCATTACGGGTAAGGTACCTAGAGAAGAGAGATTTGAGTACTTCGTGAAAGGATCAGAATAATCTCGAAGATAGCGCCTCAATCCCACTTCCCTGTGCCTTCTTACATAATCCGCAAAGTCCATGAAGTCTTCTAGATCGGACATTTTTCCACTATTTTAAAAATCTAACACAAATTCAAACGAAAATAATAAAATAATAAACAAAAGATTGTCAAAATCTCTCGTTAAAAAGTTAAGTGAAGGTTTTTCTTTACTCAACTTTAATGTTCATTAAATGCCGTTAATGAAACATTAGCTGACTCTGAGAGGGAATTTTTTCAAATCGTTACTGAGGGACACCTTAAGTAATCATTAAACGACTCTGAGTGCGGCTGTTAGAGGGCAATTCTGGCCACTGTCTTTCAACTCAACATAGTTTTTGGAAAGACAAAAGGCTTTCGTAAAACAATTGTCAAATCTGGCAATATCTTCAAGATTCTTTCGAAATACTAGTTCTCCACCTTTAAGCAATAAGTTTTTGAAAATTAAATTAAACAAACAAAAAAAAATGTATACATATATGTATTTTTCTTTTTAAAATAATAAATAGTTATATATAAAAGAAAATTTAATTAAGAAAAGAAAAAATAAAATGAAAATAAAGGAAAAAAAATATCTTTAGAAATTAAAAGAAATGTTTCCCTTCTTAAAACAATAAAATCTAAAAGTTAAATTGGAAAAAGAAAAAAATAATAATAAGTCTAAAACGAAGAAAATAGTACTTCCAAATTAAACAAAAAAATATTTTTATTTTTAAAACAAAATCTAAAAATAAAAAGAAAAAAAAACCAAAAAAAGACCATAAAGTTGAATGGAATAAAAATATATTTGTCCTCTCAAAACAACAAAATCTGAAATCTAAAAGAAAATGAAATTAGGGAAAGGGAAAATAAATAATATAAGGTCATAAAAATTTAATCCATCTAAAAAATATATTTTTTTAGCAATGAGATCTAAAAATTTAACTAAAACAGGAAAGAAATTTAATTTAAAACAGAAAAAAATTAAATAAGTGCCTGAAAATTTAATCAGATTTAAAAACAATATTCGTTCTAAAAGAAAATTTAAATTGAATTGAGAAAGAAGAAGTATTAAATTATAAAAAAGTACATAAAATGGGTTTCTAAAAATTTAATTTAATTAAAAAATTTATATTTCTATTAAAAAAAATAAAATCTAAAAACTAATAAAAAAAATTGGATGCAAAAAGAAAAAAATTTAAATAAAAATAAATAAATCTGCTGCACGAGGACTCGAACTCGGATCTCTCGTATGGCCCGCCTATGCTTTGCCCGCACAGCTATTGCGATTGTGGGAGGGAAGCGAGCTGAATGAGAGACAAGTGTTTTCTCTCAAAATAGCTTTTCACCACGATTGGATAATGAGAGCTTTTTCTCTAAGACTTTTGTGCAAGAATAACAAAAGGATTTCTAACTATCTTGCCATCTGTCCTTCTGAAAATACCTCCAAAGCAGAATGAAAGAAATTTCAGGGCCTGCTTAGGTTCAAAATCGATTCGGCAGATAATGTCCTGAAGCTTCACTTTAAGAAAGCGTCTTCGAGAGAAACTTGCACCAGTACACCTACTTAAAATCAGCTCATTGAATGTCAATGGAGTGAGGTTTTGTACAAAGTTTTTAAAAAGGTGGACTGAGTTCTACACATTCATTTTTGCTGAATCTCCAGATCTACCAGGAAAAGGACAGGTAATGTATAACTTGTGCATGAAATTTGGTTCCATTTTCTAAATGGGGTTAGCTCGAGTTGTTCTCTAAAAAGATTTTTCCCGTTATAAGTCAAATCGAAGACAAATCTTGTAATTGCAAAAATCGATTTCTTATGGTTAACTTAAAAGTTGCGGCTCATCGGATTCATGACTCAGGTCCTCAATCTTTACCGGACAGCTTGACACTCCACCACATCGATTTTTCTTCTGGTAAGCCCTGCATAAGAGAAGATTTTGTTAAGTTTTTGGATGCTTTTAGTGAACTGTCAAAGTATTGAACTACAAAAGATAACGACTCCGAAAACTCTGAACTACTTAGAAGAGAGTACATCACTTGTTTTCTAGGACCGCTAAAGAAAATGGTAAAACTGACAGAGAGTTATCCCTCACAGGAGACGCTCTTGGGTAAAAAGTTCTAAATGAGATGAAATTTCTTTATCTAAATGCCTCCATAACTACCGATGCCTGTAATTCTCTCAGATTTTGGAGCAGTGAACGAAATTCGGAAAGAGCTTGACGTCCACAAGGAATTATCAAAAACAGGTAGCCTTCAAAAATAAGGCGAATACTATAGCTAAGGAACTTGTGAAGATTATTTTAGGGTATCGGTGTTCATTCCTCTATTAGATACTATCAGTGAAGATCAAAAGAAGCTTTGAATTGTTTCCTCATTCATGCGTTTTATCCCAGTGATAATTTATGTAGGCTTTCTTAAGTAAAGCCATTCTAACAGGCCTACCCAAGTAGGGCTGAAAAAAGTGCTTCCTTGCATGCCTTCTAGAAGGGCTTATCCATTCACAATTTTCGCGAATGCATAAATTTATACTATTTAGCATTACAAATAAATTTCAATAAACATTTGAAGTTGCAAAAACGCAGATTTTACATAAACCTTAAGCAAATACTTCAAGAATATATGATTTTTATAAATTAAAGCAACATT